AGTTTTCTGTGTGATGAAGCAAGACACCAAGGAATAACTAAATGTTTACCTATTTGGGAGGAGTTATAGTAATATCAAATTGGAGTAGGGTTGTGCCATGCATAAAATTCAATGGGTGAAGCAATTCCATAGAATTGTTGCATATGTGTTTTATCAATCATTTTCCAAGGAAGATTCTGACATATTCCATGTTGAGAGCTTGGCCAGTTAAATAAGCATTTTATTATCTACTAAAAAGAAATAATACTATTGACCTATTGTGTTTCTTGGACTCTCTCTTAGCCCAGAACCAGAGATTAACTTGTATAGCCTCTTCTGTCTGGTTTCTTAAGTATTAGGAAAGTGGGACTAGGAAATATGCAGAGAAGGGAGTCTGAGGTATGATTGTTGTGAAGTTTTACCCCTTACGTGGGTGGAACACATGAAACAAAATGATAATAGCCTGTTAAATAGGTACAAGAGAGCAGTCATTAGCTCATTTCAACATGCACTTATTCACTTTATGTATGAGGAAGTGTGAACAGCTGTTGTGTATGACAAGGAACTAGGGGTATAATAGGGGAAGGTTTGGTCATCTTTTCTAACTGATAAGGTTGAACTGAGTTCCTCCAATGTATGCTGCTTGAGGCTTTGGTAGTAGGGGGGATTTTCTTTGGGGGAGGCTATTAAAATCCTCCACTCTGACTTGAATGGATAGCAATTGTTTTATCAAAGCACTTTTAATAATTATAGAGACTTACGGTTCTGTACTTAGCTATTCTTTTGAGGTCCAACAACATGACCAATGGAAATACTTGATGATCCTCTTAATTCTTTAGGGATTGGGGGGAATTTATTTATGTTTAGAATAGTTTCCATTTGGAAACATGCAGTGTGTGTGTGCCTGAAATTAGACTAAGATGAGTGTTGGAATTTTTTTTTCCTTTTTACAGTTGTATCTAAACCAATGGACTGTATTTTTCCATATGCTTTCAAAGAAGTCATTGAGAAAAAGGTAAAGAACCCATTTATTCCTTTTAAATATGAAACACCTATTTGTTTAGAAAGAGAAAGAGAAAAGGAGGATGATATGGAATTATAGCAACAGGCTGTTCTGTATTTTAATTTATTGCATGTATTCTTGCTAGATTGGACTATGGCATTAACCCATTAAAATGTATTAGAAATAGAAAAGTAGAAACATTTAACAATATTTAAATGTTTCACTACTCGGAAATAATGGGATTCTACACTATATTAATAGATGGATAGGCTCAAACCCTCTTTCAGTGGCTTAGTTGGAAGCTTTTCCAAAATGCATGGTCAATGATTACTGTTTTGGGGAAGGTGTTGGGCCCAGCTTGAGGGAAACGAAATGAATTTGGGAATACTGTGAATGTTAAAGAGCCATGTATTGGCAAGGTTGATGTGGGCTGGCTAAAATCCATCAGTGATCTCTAAACTTCCTGTATGCTCCATGAAGAAGTTTTCATAGGTCCTTAATAAAATGGTGGGAAAAAGTAATATAATGTAGTGGGTTTTTCACAAAGGTCAATGCATTCAATCTAAAGAATTTCTTTTTTGGAGAGTATGTAGGTTTTTTTTTATAAAATGATGGTGTCGATAAATATGTAGGTTTGTTTTGTTTTTTAATGCTCTTGCTCGACAAAATGAAAAATGTTAGCCACCTCATCAGGGTCCACTTAATGTTGTTTTAAATTGGCTCGAGAAATCCAGTACTTGGGGAGGGGTGCTATTAGATTAGGCTATTATTTGTGAAGTGCCCTGAATTACTATTGGAGTAAAATGACCTGGAAAAATTCCATTAGAGTCAAACTGACATTTTTTAACCAACCTAGTTGTGGAAAACATATAGCCATCAAATTCCATTTTAGAGATGTCTTTTTCAATAGATTTATGGGGTACAAATGGTTTTTTGTTACATGCGTGAATTGTATAGTGGTGAGGTCTAGGCTTTTACTGTACCTGTCACCCGAATAGGGTACGTTGTACCTAATAGGTAATTTTTCATCCCTCAGCCCCCTCTTACTGTCCCCCTTTCTGAGTCTCCAATGTCCATTTTAAGAGATTTTTAACAAGAGTAGATCTTTTGAATACCTGATGTATATTCAGTAATCTGAGTAGAATTTTTATGAGGATGGGTTTTGTGCGATGATAGGTTTTATTTATACTTAAAACACTTATAATTCTTAAATAATGTTTGTTTTTAGTCTAGTTTTGTTTTTATCAGTTCTTATTACCACCATTTGAGATTAGTTTATACAATCCTTGAGATTTCTTTGCTTGGTAAATACATAAACAGTGAGGTCTACCAGGGATTATATAGGAAAGTAAGTGATGTTTTTGATAGGTACTCTGATTCATATGCTCTAAAATGTGTCCAAATGTACAAGCATGTCCCTGTGGAGGGACTTTCTGCATGATGTTGCTCATCATTTAAAATTTTGCTTTATTCACATGCTTATTACTAGAATGAGCTCCTCAGAGACTTTGTGCAATTATTACTGCAAAAACCTGGAATCAGGAATTTCATTGCTGCATTTAGTTTTAAAAAGATGGTTTCTTTTAACCCTAGTAAATCTTACCCTGATTGAAGAAGAAGCCAAGGTATAGCACTTGCGTATAAAGAGTCAATAACTGGTTGTTTTTATTTAACAGAATGTGAAGATTGAGGTTGCTGCAACAGAAAGAACACTGCTAGGTTTTTTCCTTGCAAAAGTTCACAAACTTGATCCTGATATCATTGTGGTAAGTGGATGTTTGATCATTTCATGAGGAAGCTCTTCATTCCTTAGTTCTTTTCGATGTGACTTTATTGGTACTTTTGAGCAGCAATGAATCTTTTCATGGTAAAATGACCCTATGGACTGGTGGGAATTGCTATACTTTCTGCTAATAGAAAGGGGGAAAAATCCCAGCTCCCTGCAAGATAGTTTTTTCTCTTTAATATGAATGAATTATCATTGAAGATTAGGATTCTCTAGTTATTTACTCTCAGAGACCAGCACATAACTAAAAGTGTGTAAACTGTTAGTATCTCCAAAGTTTTGGCTTAGTGGCCCAATTGTATAGTGGTCATAGGAGTTAGTTAATTCTTATGGTTTCATGTAAATCACAAAACTAAATATTTTAATTTTATAAGCTCAGTGGATCTCTATGACATATTCCGTTGAGAATTTAGAACTAGGAATTTTTTTTTCTCTTGGCGACCCAGTACGCTCCCAATTAGACAGTGAGAGCTAATAATTCATTGAGTTTTTGCCATAGTTCCTAAGAGCAACATTTTGCTTTGTATATCTTCTGGTTTTCCTTAGTTTGTAGGCTGTAGAACTCCTTCCTTCGTCTTTACTAGGTTAATGGATCAATCAAATTATGTTTTGATTTTGTTTTTTCAGAGGAAGGCAGGCTATAAATGCCTGTATTTTAAATGTGATACCAGTAATTTGGTTATATTGAAGCCTTGCAAAAATGTTTGCCATATCCTTCTTTCTCTACGTTCATTTTCACTCTTGGATACCTTATCTGGCAATGGTATAGCTAGTGTCTTGAGAGCCTGTGGACTGTAGCCAATAATCTCTGCACCTGCTTCCCCTATGGATATTTCAGGACCCATCTTTAAATGCCAAGAAGATTCTTCCACAGTACTGTACTGTGGTGCTCTGGCTCAGTACTAGGCCCTCACTTAGTCTTCAACAACAGTATCTTGGACCCCAAGGAGATGTCGTGGAGCCTAGGATACCTGGACCAGGCTTAGGGTGTTAGAGCCAAGTCTGTGTGTGAGAAATCCAGGTGTAAGATGGAATTCTGACATCAATTTGGGTCCCCGATCCCAGGCATGATAATTTGGAAATGATACTTTCTCAGGGCCTTTGAGTCTTTTAATTTAATAGACATAACTGCCATAAATATATAGTGATATATATATATAATTGTAGTTAAATACACATAACATAAAATTTACCATCTTGACCATTTTTAAGTGTACTGTTCAGGGATATTACTGGGTTCATAATATTGTGCAAACATCATGACCATCCGTCTCCATAACTCTTTTCATCTTGTAAAATGAAACTCTGTACTCATTAACTCCCCATTCCCCCAGCCCCTGGCAATCACCATTCTTTATGTTTCTATGATTTTGACTACTTTCAGTAATGGTATATAGTTTTAATTAAAATTAATAACAAGTAAACATTTATTGATCTGAGTTATTTAATTTTTAATAAACATAGGCATGTGAATCATGTTACATGTTGGAAATTGGAAATTACTATTATAGAAATTAAAAATCTGGTTGCATTTTTGAGATACTTTGTACTCTACAGTTTTGTTTCCTTGTTTTTAACAAATTTCTTATTTGAATTATTCAGTGATATTGTATATTTATCTTGTTACATATCAATTAAAAGTCTAAATCAGTAGTGTTTGAACTCAGTGTTTTAAGAAGAAACTAAATGCAATTCCTGAATTTTCTACGACGTCTTTTGTAAACTGTCATACAACACAGGCAGCATCTATATTTTTAAGGAAGCAAAATGGAATTGTTTGAATATAGCTTTTACTGAGAACGTAAAAAGTATGGGACGTTAAATTTGCATTTGCCTCTGGGACTGTGAGGCATGAGCTGCAAATTAAAAGACATCATATGAACCTTGCATCAATTAGGATGAAATAAAGTTTATTCCAGCAATCTGCTTAGCAGCCTTGTTAATGTCAGGGCTAATGAATGCTGCTGATGAATAAATTCCTGAAGAAGAAAGGACTCCCAATCGGAGGTAAGCGCATGATGTCTTCAATTAGAGACCAGAAAAAGAAAGGGCAAAGAAATTCTGTGCATATGAAGATAAATCCTCTAATTTGCATTTGTTATAACATTATTGCCTGACTTCTTTTTCTGACTAGGGTCATAATATTTATGGGTTTGAACTGGAAGTACTACTGCAGAGAATTAATGTGTGCAAAGTTCCTCACTGGTCTAAGATAGGTCGACTGAAGCGAGCCAACATGCCAAAGCTTGGGGTAATAATAATCTTCAAAATCTTACTTTATTTGGCTTTTTTTATATGGGGTAGCTACCAGGGAACACACTACTTTTAAAAGTAGGAATTGGTTGTCTTGTGATAGGAATTTCGGTACATTTTAACTTTGGCACTAAACATCTTTTCCTTTGAATTCAGCATTTTATTTGTAAAAACTTCAGTTAGATTCTAGGAATAGTGAACAAAGACAGTAGTACATTCATGTTACCTTCACTTTGTTATTTCCAAAGTGATAGCCCTTAGAGCAAAGTCGCAGGGTTCAGAAATCATTGAGTGTTATCCTTCAGGAAGAAGATGGGAAGAATGAATGGAAGGGAGCTGACGTTGAACGTATAAGGCAGTGGGCTAAGTGCTTTCTGTGTTAGTGACCTCTCACAGCAACTCCAATTTTATTTTATAGACATTCTCACAGGGGTAATGTAACTTGTTCAAGATCATATAACTAGTAAGGGGAAGAACTGAGATTTGAACCCAGGTCTGACTCTTTTAAGGACTATGTACTTTTCATTCTTCCTGCTTGTTTCATGTATCGAGGTTTTGGTGTGGAACACCTTCTTCCTAAACCTGACACTGCGCAGTGCTTGAAATCTTATTTTACTTAAAACTTATAAATAGAGTGGACGTGATGCCTCATCAGAGAAATCAGGAATCTGTATCTGTACCTTTTATAATGCTATCCAGTTATTCTGTTGCTATAGATTATAGTTGGGACCATTGCTCTGGTTTCTTTTCCTATTCATATCTTTAAGGTGGTAGAGTTGTTATTAACACTTCTTCTGAATACTTGCTTAGCTAACTCTACCCTCTTCAAGATTTTCTTTATATGGCATGTTCTGAGTGAGGTCTTACTCCACCACCCTGTTTAAAATGCAGTCCCCCAAATTCCTTGTCCTCCTCACCTTGCTCTACTTTTCCCTTTTTCCATATACTTATTACCTTGTAAAACTATATAATTTCTTGTTTATGATGTCTATTTTTAATTTTATGTCATAAATGAGATCAAGTATCTTTTCTGTTCACTGCTGTGTCCTGAGTGCCTAGAGCAGTGTCAGATACCTAGTAAATGTTCAAAAATATTTGATTGATGAATGGAAGAATGAGAGTTTCATCATTGTAATTTTTGGGCCAGCTTCAGAATAGATTAGAAGCAAATGTTCTCAATGTTTGCTCTTTCATGGGATTTGCTTTTTGTCCTCATCTTGTAGGGCCGGAGTGGATTTGGTGAAAGAAATGCTACCTGTGGCCGAATGATCTGTGATGTGGAAATCTCAGCAAAGGAATTGATTCGTTGTAAAAGCTACCATTTGTCTGAACTTGTTCAACAGATTCTGAAAACTGAAAGGGTTGTAATCGCAATGGAAAATGTACGAAATATGTACAGGTATGCTCCTGGATTCTTCAGAATTCATCTTTCTTGAAATTAACAACAATAGCAACAACAGGACACCAGAACTGTCCTTAGGCTGGAGCGATATGAGCTTGTGGTGCTGTCTGTCTTCATGTCAGTACCACCATCTCCATTACTTTCATAATTTAAACTAGTTTACCTCTTGAATTATTCTGATTTGATCAGTTTATCTCCATCTCCTTCACCTGTCTTAATACTATCTTGATGTTTCCTAATAGTTTGGAAATTGATAGGAAATTTATATTTCTACTCTTGATTAATTTATTCGGGAATTAGTGTAGATATTTTAGAAATATAAAAACTGAGCAATCATTAAGTTATTTAGAGATACTGCTTGTTTATTTCTTTCTTCTACTCCTCTGGCCATTTCTCATTCATTCCTGCTAGTTCCTCCTGAGTCCTTCGTTGGACTGCTTCTCATGTCTGACTGTGCTCCTTCTCCAGGTGATTTCATGGAGTCTTAGGAATTTAAATACCATGTGGGTACTGATGCCTCCCACCTGTGTATTTTCAGATTAGACCTCCCCCGTGAATTCCAGACTCACTGTATCTACTTGCCTTTTCTACTTGATATCTAATATGAACCTTCAGCTTGTTCAAAACTGAGCTTTTGATCTTCTACCCTTGACTCTTCCTGTAGTCTTTCCTTACTAAATTAATGACAATTGTTATCTTTCCATTGCTGCTGAAAACCTCCAAAGTCATTCTCAGCCCCAAACCACTGAGATATCCTTGATTTCTCTCTCTGACATCCCACAGTAGATCCATCAGGGAATCCTGTCAGCTCTAGCTGCTAGATATATCTATATCTGACCACTTCTTTTCACCTCTGTTGGACCCACCCTGGTCCAAGCCATCGTCCTCTTTCCCCTGGATTACACGGTTTACATACCTATGTCCTTGCTTTTGCCCTTGCCCCCTTGTGGTCTGGACCAGAGTTATCCTGCTAAAATTAAGTTAGATATGGTACTCTGTTTAAAATCTTCTAATAACTCTGTTTCATTCAGAGTAAAAACCAGAGTCCTATTTTGACCTATAAGGTTCTGTACAATATGTCTCTATGCCATTAACTCTGTCCTTATCTCCTAGTGCTCTTTCCATCATTCTCTCTGATCTAGGCATATTGGTCTCCTTCCTGGTCCTGGAAGTACAGTGTCAGATTTACACTAAGCTCAGGGCCTTTGAGTGTGCTGTTCTGTCTGGAGTACTCATCTCTTAGATATTCATCCATAAAACTTGCTCCATCACTTCCTCTGGGTCTTTATTCTCAGTGAAATCTTCCCCAGTTCCCTAACTACGATTCCAGTCTCTGCCCCGATACTTAATATCCCCTTTGCTTCTTAACTTTTTCTCCTTAACACTTAGCATTATGTAACATATTATATATTTAATTTCTTTTTCTTTTTTATACTCTGTCTCCCCCATGAGGACATAAGCTCCATGAGGACAGGGATTTTTGTTTGTTTTGGTCACAGGCAATGCCTAGCACATAGTAAGCATGCAATATATACGTCCTGGATGAAATAAATGAAAGGATTTAAGTAGTTTTCAGGTTTGTAGTTAATACATTACTCGATTTTATTTTTATGGGATTTTTTTGTTTTTTGAAGAAAGGCATTAGGATCAACAGTATGAATGAATTTCTAGTTACATACTGACCTTATTTTAAATTGTTTCCAAAGCTGGGGTGCCTTTGCTCTGAAATTCCTTGTAATATTTTATGAAGTTCTGATTATAGTCATTGTTTCTTTTAATTACTTGATTCTGTTTCATTCTTACTTTTCTGTACAGTGAATCTTCTCATCTGTTGTACCTGTTGGAACACACCTGGAAAGATGCCAGGTTCATTTTGCAGATCATGTGTGAGCTAAATGTTCTTCCATTAGCATTGCAGATCACTAACATCGCTGGGAACATTATGGTAAATTTAACTTAGAAAGGGGGAAAAGCATTTCCTGTTGGATTCAGTGTTTGCTTGGGGTAGTTGTTATATGATAATGAGTCTAAATGCATGCTTATAAAATGAGTAACTTGGATTCTGAAAGCTGGGCTTCTTTTGTAAAAGGAATAACTGGTTGAGATAAGGGGAGGAATGCCAGGTGCAGTGTGTTGAAATTTGGGCGAACATAAGGATCTTCTCTCTAACATCTGGATGTGTCTGTCTGGTGGAATGGTCCATTTGACAGTAAAGAAATAGCCAAATTGTCAATATTTTAAGTTCTCTTTATCTCCTTTAACTATAATGCTTAAAGAAAACGTTGGAAATAATTTAGTACCTCTTTAAAAAAAAAGTAGGCTTGTTATTTTGAGAGGTTTTGAAGGAGGTGCTATGATTAAATGTACCAATTCAGAGTTGCTTTTGTTCATTGTGGTTTTGAGCTCAAATTTATAAAAGAAATTCTATTTAATAGTCCAGGACGTTGATGGGTGGACGATCTGAACGTAACGAGTTCTTGTTGCTTCATGCATTTTATGAAAACAACTATATTGTGCCTGACAAGCAGATTTTCAGAAAGTCTCAGCAAAAACTGGTGGGTCTAAAATTGTATAGTATTTTGCTTTTTGTTATCCCCCCCTTTTTATTACCTAGATAGCCTTTTTTTGCTGTGATAACACCTGCTTCCAAAATAATTAATCCCCTGTGTGCTGTAGAAACCACATCAAGTTTATTCCCTTGTGTTTGTGTGGTTGTTTCCTTTTCCACTTTTCTTTGTACAGAAAAAATTATTTGTGAAATATGAAATTCTTCGAGGGAGGCATTAGACCTCTCTGATGGGTGACCATACCTGGAAAATGGTTTGCCACCATAACCCTACCCAAAGTTAAATGCCAGTTTAACTTTTTATTTCCTTAAACCTGTGAACCTTTATTTTTCTGTTGCATTTTTCTATGCTAGTATGATTAAGGTCTCCACAATCAGGTTTCTGAAGTGGCCTCTGTCACTTTGGAACTCTGTCACTAGCGCTGATAGTAATTGATTCAGAATGGGAATTGAATGTTAAAATGTAATTCAGATTCTTGTATTTGCTCGTTTTATGCACCTTATCAAAATTGGTATAGGGAGTATATTAATTTAGAGGACTAAGTTCTGCTGAGGAATGTTGGCCATTAATAAACTACTTAGGAATGGATTTTCAGTACATGGATGTACTTATTTTATGGTGTCCTTATTAATAATGAGAATAATGATATTTCATGTTTTTACATCATGAATGTTAGTCAATTTAAGACAATCTCAAATTTTATATAATATGAAAAGTATTTTTAATATCCATTGATTTAAAAATATGAAATTTCTATGAATTCAGAAACATTTAAAAATAGAATGTGCATATTTAACTCAGAGATCTATAATAGTATTTGTTTAGGAAACTACCATGGTTGGCATTCATTTGGATTCATGAACATATTATAATAACTATCTTCACAGGTGGGACCACTAACTTAAAGTAAATAACGTTTATTAGAACTGAATATTGCAATTGGAAAAGAGGGAATCATAAAACTTCTTAATTAGTTAATTAGTTTCTGGCTGGTGAAGTTATCTTTCCATTTGATATTAGGGAGATGAAGATGAAGAAATTGATGGAGATACCAGTAAATACAAGAAAGGCCGTAAGAAAGCAGCTTATGCTGGAGGCTTGGTTTTGGATCCCAAAGTTGGTAAGGCTGGGCAGCAAATTGGTTTGCCCCTGGTGTTAAGGAATTTCTTAATGTAGAACTAGGCTTGAGATAGAAGACCTGAATTATGTCTTATAAGTCAGCAAATAGTTCTCATAATGACCTTATTTTTATCATTTTTGTTCATGTGAAAATCTTGTTTGCCAGTCACCTGACATGGAATTAATGTGATTTTTTTTTTTTTGCTGTTCCAATAAAATTTTATTTATGGACATTGAAATTTAAATTTCAGATAGCTTTCATGTATCATGAAATATTATTCTGTTTTTGACTTTTTCCAACCACTTAGAAATGTAAAAACTATTCTTAGCTCATGGGTGGTACAAAAACAGGCAGTAGGCTGGATTTGATCTGTACATAGTTTGCCAACCCCTGATCCCTGATCCAGTATATAGATAGCTGTTTGTCCTGTAGGAGCACCCCTGTTGTCTTTCAGTCACTCTGTGAGGGTGAGCTCTGCCTCTGCCCAGTGTGCCGGGACCAGTTCATTTGGACAGCAGAGTTAAAAAAAAGCGCATACAGTAACCACCAAATTTAACTTTGACAGGAGAATAACTTTTCCCTGTTGTCATGAATGGCAAGGAAGATATTTTATGGTACACAGATGGAATCTTTTTTAAAAAATGATATTAACTATTTTCAAGTGTATGGTTCAGTAGTAGTGTTAAGTACACTCACATTGTTGTACAGGAATTAATGTGAATTTTGTCAGGTAACTTGAACTCTGAGTAGGAGACATTTTCGACAAAAGCAATTTTATTATTAGTTGTAATGAAATAGAGGAGTAATACTTTGGTGTTAGATAGATCTGGATTTGAATTCTATGTGATCTTGGGCTGCCTGTTTAACCTCTGTGTGCCTCAGTTTCCTCTTCCATAAAATGGAAATAAGAATAATATCTGCCATACAGAGATTTAAGGATTAAAAGTGATTATTTAGTATAGTGCGTGACACAGACTAAGCTATCAGTATATGTTTGCAGTGATTACTGTCTTAATAGCTGACATTTATTTTTATGCAGTTTCTTCTCAAGGTGAAGATAACTCTTTGTAAATGTCCTGAAGAAATACATTATAGTAGCTTTCTGTTCACCTTTTATAAGTAAAACGGGCGAATTGTTCCACTACTGACATTTTATTTATTTTTGTGTGTGTGTGTGTGTGTGTGTATGTCTCTTTGATTTCTAGCAGTTCATGTATAGGTAAATGGGCTGTCCATTTTATTCTTTGAAGGTGTGATAGTAAAAAAGTATATATACATAAACCACTCACTGGGGTTTTTATTTGGGTGTGGGTGGGAGAGTAGGTGGGAGGGAATGCTTGCTTTGAGAATTTAACAACTTTTTTTTGAAATGGATATGACACCTTCCTAAAATAATCGATTTGGGAAGGTGTTTGCCCAGAATAATGGTGTGCTTTGGGAACTGCTAGGGAAAGGACTAGTTGTAGCTGGTTTTAAGGAGAGGCGGGATCTTTCCCTCCCTCTTTTTTTCTGATCTGGGTTTTCACTCAAATCCAAGTCATTTTATGGAGTGGTAGTTGACTCTCTTTTTTTCTGCCTCACAGCTCTGGATAGTATGTAGTTTTTAATATACTTCATAATATAGCGCTTCTAATATGTTTTGACAATTCTGCTTCCTTTAGTCTTTTTATGACATTATATGGGTTTTTTATTTCAGGTTTTTATGATAAGTTCATTTTGCTTCTGGACTTCAACAGTTTATATCCTTCCATCATACAGGAATTTAACATTTGTTTTACGACAGTGCAAAGAGTTGCTTCAGAGGCACAGAAAGTTACAGAGGTTTGTATTCAACCTGAGACTCTTGAGATTGAGGTTTAAAGAATTGCTTAAAGAAGGAAGAGAACCAAAGGGGTTAGCATTTTAGTTTTTCCTCTTAAAGAATACACTAATTATGTCCTTTCTTAGAGGTCAAAAAAGGAGAAGGGTAGAAAGAGGCTCAGGTTCTGTGCCTTTTTTAAACAGTTGTATTGAGGTATAATTCATGTATCATATAATCCACCTACTTAAAGTATGCAGTTCAGTGGCTTTTAGTGTAGTCACAGAGTTTGCAACCATCAGCACAATCAATTTTAGGACATTTTCATTATTCCCCAAAGAAACCTTTTAGTTGTTACCTCCCTCAATATCTCTATCCCTCCTAGCTCTAGGCACCCACTAATCATTCTGCCTGTATAGATTTGTGTATTCTGGACATTTCATATAAATGGAATCATACACCCAACCACATCCTTGGGAGCTGTTTTTCAGTCCTAATTTCATATTCCCAGAAGAGAGAATCTGATAGGCCTGCCTAGGTCAGTCAGCACCCCTGGTCCTCATCACCTGTGACCACAGGAGTGAACTCAGAGTATAAATCTGGCTGCTAAGGATGGGCCTTTCTGTGGCACTAGAGGATAATTTGACAGAGAAGGTATTTAATTTAATTTACGGAGAAGGTATCCTCAAAAGATAGTGACTGCATTTGATGAATATTCTTTGAGCTCTGTCCTGCTACTGTGCCAACATTGTGATAATTATCATTATCCAGCCCCTGCCCCCAAACCCCTTTCTACCACCATTTTATTTATTTGAGCTTTCCAGTTTTGGATTCTGGATATGTAATAGAATCATTTTAGAGTTGGATGAGACCTTAGAGGTTATCTAAGAAATACTGTATATGTTAGTAATTTATAGATTCCATATTATTTTCATGCGCAGTACCTCATTTGGTCTTCAAAACAGTATCACAGAGGTAGTGGTGATAGAACTTGGAGTTGATTGTAAATTTCCTGACTCTAGTTCCTTTCGGTTTACTTTTTATCTGACTTCCATAGTTGCTATAAATAAATTGGAATGTGTACCAAGATCTCTTTAATAGGTTTGCTATCATGATCTACTATATTGGAAAACAGTAGGTCCCTGTTACTTTTGTAAGAGTATTCATTTGAAGATATTGATCTTTATAAAATCAGATAGTTTGTAAAGACTGGGTTATCAAATGGCATTGACTTGACATACTCTAAGCCAAGAGGTTTATTTTTAATTTTGAAACTTTGAAAGGGCAAATGTGCCTGGCTTTCTTTGCAGCCTGTTAATAGAATTAATGGAGACTTGAGAAAAGTGGTCTAATGCTTTCCCTGCTGTAAATTTTAATATAAGAAGACTGCTGGTTGCTTTTCTAAAATGTTGTTCTTCTACCGATTGTACTAGCAATTTATAGGTAAAAGGTACTACATAAATGCTAAGGAATATATATGTATTAATTTTTAGAAATGTCATGGCCTATTTAAATGTGCTCCATGAAAGAAGTTTACTGATTTAGTATTTAGCTTTTTATTTGTAGTCTAAAGCATTTATAATAATTGCTATTATTCTCCATAGTTTTAAAATTCTATAGCATTTTGTTTGGTAGTAAGAATGATTTAAAAAAGTAGTTTAGCTGCTGGTTATTTTTTTTTTAATCCTAGAGGTCTGTCTCAATGTTTGTATTTTAAAAACATTTTCCCCAGATGTGTTGCTCGCCAGTCTTGTTGGAGAGAGGATAGTATGTGTAAAAATTCATCCCTTTAAATGAAATCTAAATTTGTGAGTAACTACAGGGGTGGGAAATTGGAAATGACAGGCTGATAGAATTGGGAGAAAAGAGGGTAATGTTAACTTCTTCTAAAACCCTCTCAGCTCTTTCTTATACTACCCATGCTTTATTGACCTTTACTTACACAAGAAAGTATTCAAGATGTGATCATGGGGTAAAGCTCCCACAAAATGTTATTTTAGGAATTTATTTCATGAAAGTTTGATTTGTATGAAATTTCTGTTGTGTGTTCATCAGGATGGAGAGCAAGAACAGATCCCTGAGTTGCCAGATCCAAACTTAGAAATGGGCATTTTGCCCAGAGAGATCCGGAAACTGGTAGAGCGGAGAAAACAAGTCAAACAGCTAATGAAACAGCAAGAGTTAAATCCAGACCTTGTTCTTCAGGTATATCTTTTTACTAAGAGACATCTGAGTGACAGTCTCAGCTTTTAGAATTTGATTATTTAGGAATGGAATAAACAGGATGCTATGGGCAAATACATGTGCTTTTAAGTTTGTGGGTAGGTAACCATTCAAAAATACTAGAGTACCTCAGTGGAAGGCACCTTTACCTGTAAAGGCCATATCTGAGTGAGATCCTTCTGACTCTTGACTCTTGGGAGCTTTAGAGTCTGTTTACTTGCTTTTAGGAGGTTACAGAGTCATGGATCCAGAGGATGAATTGAGTGTGTAAAGAGTTTTTTTAAAGGGTTATTGAGGGTTTTACCTTCTCATTGGTGATTTAGAAAGACATCCAATATAATGCTTAAGTGTCTGCAAGTATTGTTGTTTGTCTTTTGCCCTTGTGTGGTCTGCAGTATGACATTCGACAGAAGGCTCTGAAGCTCACAGCGAACAGTATGTACGGTTGCCTGGGATTTTCCTTCAGCAGATTTTACGCCAAACCACTGGCTGCCTTGGTGACATACAAAGGAAGGGAGGTAAATAGCATAATAGCATTCACATCTCTAAATATGATAGTATTTTTAACTGTACATATTATAGTGTGGGAGAGTCAAGTTTGTTATCTAGTTATACAGCTTCAAATACAGTACCCCTTTCTTAGGACAAGTTTGAGACAAATAGACATTTAAATAAGGATTCATTAATTTGTGTGTGTGTGTGTGTGTTTATTGAACATCTACTATGTGCCAGGCATTGTTCTGGGTACTGGGAATAGAGTGTCAAGCAAGACATAAAAGGTCCCTGGTATCATGAGGCTTAACATTTTACCCAGTGTGGGATATGGGCTGGGGTGAAGGTAGTTTGGGAAAACAGACTGTAAAAAAGCGAATAAACAAATACAAGAAATAACCAAGAAAATACGATAGAAGTAAATGCTCCACAGATAATTAAAACAGGGTGGTGGGCTAGAGAATGTTTAGATGGCTAGTTTAGAGTGGTCAGGGAAGGCTTCTTTGAGGAGATGACATGAATAAGACCTAAATGATATAAGGGAGTTAGTTTTTTTGCTGATGGATTGACTTGGAGTGTGAAGGAAAGGTAGAAATCAGGAGGATAGCTAGTGGAGCCTTTTACTAAGATGGAGGAAACTGGGAAACAGTTATATCTTGGATGTGTTGTCTTTGACATGAATAGTAGATCTCCAGGCATACTAAGTAGGACGTTGGATGTATAAATCTAGAATTTCAGGAATATGTCAGGACTAGAGTTATTGATTGAGAGTTATTAGCTTTAGTAAGATGGGCCAGATAACAAACAGATTTTAAGTACTGTCACTTAATGAACACTGTAAGCTTCATCTATTTTAGTACTATGTGCATGGGTTTTTCTTAATTTGTAAAAGAATAGTTGTAAAAATTCCATTCAACTCCATTAAACTATTGTCTGTCAGTAAATTTAAGACTGCTCAGTCTTAAAGGAGGTAGTTAGTCGTGATGGGCAAAATGCTTGTACTGGGGGGTCTGGACTCCAAATACTCCAGAACAGGAGTTGGCAAACTGTGCCCCACTGGCCAAATCCAGCATGCCATCTATTTTTGTAAATAAGGTTTTATTGGAATAGAGCCAAGCTCATTCATTTACATATCATCTATGGCTGCTTTTGCATTATAACAGCAGAGTTGAGTAGTCAAGATAGAGGCTTGCATGGCCTGCAAAACCTAAAACATTTACTATCTGGCTTTTTCTAGGAAAAAAAGTTTGCTGACCCCCGTAGAGTCCATACCAGCTCTGTCCAGTAGAACTTTAAGTTGATGAAAACGTTCTCCATCTGTACCATCCAATACAGCACTCTAGCCACAGGTGGCTAGTGAGAACTTGATTTCTGGCTAGTGACAACTAGCTGAGGAACTGGACTTTTAGATTTCTTTAATGAATTTAAATTTAAATAGCCACATGTGGCTAGTGGCTACTGTATTGGGCAGTGCAAATCTAGCTGGTATGTGAAACAAAACATCAGGCTGTTTGGAGTCACTCTTCTGTTGGCAGCCCTGTCTCAAAGACATGGCTTGGGGCACAGCGAGGAAGGGCAAAACGTGTGTTCAACACCAGCAATGTGTTGAAAGCTTTCATATGTGTCATTTCATTAAAATCACACAAGAATCCTTTGATATAGGTAATAATGTTCCCATTTTGAAGTTGAGGAAGCTAAGCCTAAAAGAGGTGAAATATAAGTGACTATTTTGAATGTGAATCCATATCTTCCTGATTTAAGTCTTTTACTCCATTAGGTCTGTCTCCTCCATCTCAAAATGTCTTTCACGACTGTGGTTCTGCTTTATAATCTGCCTCTTATTCCTTAAAGATCATCTTTTTCGATACACATCTCAAGAGATGGGCCTTTTTTACATGAAAAAGATACAGGTGCTTTAGGGGCTAGTTGAAGTGAGGAAAGGATGTTTTCAGTTTCTTAGGCTAAGTTTACTTCAAAATTATTTAAATTTTATTTCTGTATGTGTATCCAGTGGCTTCTGATAGAATACCGTCTTATTTTTGTATTAGGAAATGCACTCGCTATGCCCCAACTGGGTGATAATACATGGGTTGACTATTGAGATTGGATCAAGGTTACTCTTAAGTTTCTCACGAGAGGCAATAGTTGACAATTTACTCCCTTGGAGAGTGCCTCTTGCTGTTGGGAAATCCCTGTTGTTACATTTTTTGCATTGGCTCAGAAATCCACAAGCTTAAAAGGGCACTGTTGATAATGATAAGCCCCAAATTTGTCCAACGATCTTCCCCACTCCCCTAATCCATTGTGTTTTAAGGGCAATATTTTCGTTTAGCTGGATTTTTTTAATAGGGAGTTTAAACTCAATTTTTATTTTTGTTATATAAAATATAGCTATAATAAATCATTAAATAAACATAAAAAATTCTGCTTTCCCCACTAAAAAACAGAATTTCAGACAAATCTAGAAGTAATCACATGTGATTTAAATTCCTTGTTTCTATTTCCCCCCCCTTTTTTTTTTGTCCCTTTGCTCCTTCCCACAAATAATGATTAGTACAACTGTGAAAAGTAGGCCTTTAAAGTAATTTGAGGTTGGCCAGGCACAGCGGCTCATGCCTGTAATTCTAGCACTCTGGGAGACCAAGGTGGAAGGATTGCCTGAGCTCAGGAGTTCGAGACCAGCCTGGACAAGAGCGAGACCAGACCCCCCTCTACTAAAAATAGAAAAATTAGCCAGGCACAGTGGTGTGTGCTTAGAGTCCTAGGTACTTGGGAGGCTGAGGCAAGAGGATGGCTTGAGCCCAGGGGTTTGAGGTTGCAGTGAGCTACAATGATGCCACTGCACTTTAGCCTGGGTGACAGAGCAAGACTCTGTCTCAAAAAAAAAAAAAAAGTAATTTGAGGTTAATGAGAAATAATAATTACACAGTTTCTCCCTGGAAATCTTATTCTAGAAGATCCATAGTCACCTACAGATATTATTTCCTAAAATAAAAATGATTGTTAAAGTATTGGTCACAATTATTAGCACTGGTGAATGGAACTGTGGCCATCTTTCTTTGAGTTTGCTAGCATTTCTCATGTATTCTGTTAATTCTTTGTGGTTTTCAAGTGTCTCTTAATTATTAAAGACGTAGGAAGGAGTGAAGTGAAAATGACAGTCAGTTTGCTGAGATTTTGGAATACCTTTGTAACTTATTATACTAGTATTTTTGGTGATAAGATAGAGCGGACAAAATGATATATTAATAGTAACCTGAAGATCCTATAAGTTGTTTGCTTTTAAAGTCTTTGTAGGATAAATTAAAGTTCAAGTGGAAATTAATGAGAAAGAAACCTGGTAGCATACCATTGCGAAAGATTGTAAAATTTTGCATTTGGATATGGATTAATACATAATCTGGAGAGGCCTTCGAAGCCCTTTCTTCCTTTTTAAGTCTATTTTATGTTTGCTCAGTTTTGTTGGAATCGTGCAGGTTTGGCTCTGGTGACCTAATAATTTCTGTAATCAAATGTATTGTGGCTGCTAGCATACTCAGAGTAATTACTAATTGTACTTTTAAAAACAGGTTTGTAATAAAAATGCTAACAGTTGTGTCAGATGGGTATCAATATTGTCTTTTCACAGGTGTGACCTTTCACACTTAAACTCTTCCATGATTTTGAATTGCTCAGTATATGGGTAGAGGAATTAGTTAATGGTTAAGGAATCGTATAAAGGAGCTCACAGTGTGCAAATTATTTAAAAATAATGAAGTCAGTGTTCCAGAGAAGTAATGTGGAACCTTCATTTATAGACACTTGAAAGTGAATCTGTACAAATATTATTTGCATTTGTGTTTGTTCTCAATGTATGTGTAGAAAGGCATAAAAAAAGAAATTGGGCAAGCCTACAGCACTGAGTGGTCATGTATTTTTAAACCACGAAGAAAAACTATCAGTTGTCAAGTGCCTGATGTGGTAATTGAAGGGATTGTTCACTAGATGGCGATAGACACCCTGAGATCATTAATCAATTAAGGATTTTATTCTGAGAAGGCCATTTAATGACTCAAATCTGTCCACATTTTAGACTTTTATTGATTTTGGAACTATTAAAGAAAGGCTAAAATTAGCCCAAAGGGTTATAATAGTCTAATATTAGTGTTTAAAATAATGATGATTTTTGAATCATAAGTTTTATTGATAAGAATAATCATTTAATTTATCAGAGCAAGCTAATTCTTCTATCAAGTAGCTAATTTCATATTTCTGGCCATGGAGCCAGGCTGGGATACTCAGTCCCAGTATAAGAGGCTAATCTAAAGAGACTTGGGAATGATTTTGATATATAATTTTGCCTCTTTGAATTTGTTTATTTTTATTGAGGCATTTCAAACTTACTATATACTTATAAACATACTCGTTGCATAATCCTTGTGTAATGGTAATATTTGTCTTTATGGAGTAATTGGTACTTACCGACATTGGTATTGTTTTATTTCTCCACTTTGTTATTTCTGTGCCCTTGAGAAAACCTCTTGAGAAAACCTTTTTTTATCTGGATTTCTGACTGCATTTTACAGTGAATGTATGCTCTAATGTTTGGGTATAGAATCCATGCATTTTCATTTTCCCACCTCATAGGCTGAAATGAGTCTTTGCCAGCCGGCTTGCCAACTGGTTGTAGACTGCTTGGCTTTTAGTTGTGTTTGCAGCCAAAATTTGTGCATTTGGAAAATGTATCCAAATCATTAATGCAAACATTACAATCTGGGCAGGCCTTTCTGGGATTCTCTTGGTTGTATGGTAGCACCTGTCAGGAGCCCTTGGGAATGGCACTGGGAAAGAGAGCTCTAGCCTTTGTTGGTGTCAGTGGTGAAAAAGAATTAGTGAATATGGAGAATCTTACAATTAAGTGTTAAGGGAGTCTTTCATCTTTACCTGGAAATAAGCAAAAATTTCACTTTTACAATCTTTTCTTAAGAATACCTTAGTTTTTCTTAAAAAAAAATTAAAAGCAGGGATATTATAGAGACAATTAAAG